TAACTAAAGCCGTATATGGGAAAATCTGGGGACAACCCGACCCTTCGAAAACCATTAAATCGGCAATATCTCTGGTCCGGAAGTGACGTCATCAAAACAGAAAAAAAACGCATAAGGTTCAAGTGATGATACATAAGTCCTAAAAGTTTCAAGGAAATCCATCGAGCCGTTTTTGAGAAATCGCGTGCACAAAATCGGTAAGAAAAAAAAAACAATAATAATAATAACTAGACTCTTGTTGCCATGGCAACAAAAAAGTCTTCCGTTCTTCTAAATCTGTAAGAATTTGCTTTTTTTCTGTGTAAAAAACATACATGTCATATTTACTGTGAAAGAAAAAAAATAACTGGAAAAAGTCCTTTCAGTACTTAAGGTACTTTGATTTTCATTATCAATATTGTATATTACATTTGGCACCTATAAGAGATAAACGTATATCATTAGCAATTTTAAAAAAAATTGTTTGCAATCATTTCTAAGACAAACAAACAGACGAACGAACACCGTACTATCATAAACTTCATTGTGTGTATATTTTGGCATAATTGTGAAGGTGTTATAAAAAAAATATAATGAATTAAGTTAGTATCACACTAAACGTAAAGTCACTGAGTTTTGTAAAGTTATAATATCAAGATTTGACAGCATACCTCTAAGACAGATTATTCAATTACAGTAATTCTTCAGCAATCGATTGATTGATTGATTGATTATACGTATGTTGTTTAACGTCCCTCTCGAGAATTTTTCACTTACATGGAGACGCCACCACTCGCCGGTGGAGACTGCAAATTTTTGTCCTATACTTTGGCACTTATCGCAATTGAGCAGTGGGGAATCTTTTTTATGCCAGCACCTTCTGCAACAAGGGACCTCGATTTATACGATCTCATCCAAAGGACCGGTCTCCACGTCCCACAATCCAAGTTCATAATACCGAGATATTTTATTTTTTATTTTATTTTTTCACAAGATTGTTGCATCAGATTTACTTAAAGATCATACTTCAAGATCATTTCGAACTCAGGCTACTTAATTGCAGTGAATACAGCGTCAAGTGATTTTGATTGACAGGTCAACACACGTGCACTTCGTGTGATACTTTTTAAGCTGAAAAATATACAGGATGTGACCATGACTGACTATGAAATCAGAAAACATTTAATAAAGAATGGGTGTGACCGATACAGAACTAATTTTTGGTCTATGTAAATGGATAGGAGGATCGGGATTAAGAGGGAATCTCTCTCTCCCCCCCCCTCTCTCAGACGTAAATTGAACATTTCATAATGACAAATCTACCATTATAGAATATGAAATTCTGTATACATGTAAATGGTAATTATATTCACATGTTCCAGATTTAAATCTAAAACGAATATATAATTCAAATAACTAGCTGCACGAACGTCTCCAAATATTAATCAAGATGGGGGGGGGGGGGAGGAGGCTTCAAAGTAATTAGATAGTTTTATGTTTTATGAATTATAAGGAAAAGTACGGACGTCAGTTGCATGTACATAATTATATATCACTGCATAAAATTGTGTTCATTCAGGTATACTTATCCCACATATCAAGAGACCTGTGCAATTTTTTTATCATGGTTTTTTTTTTTTTTCAAAAGAAACATATAGCGTACCATTATTTCACACAGGATCGCGTTTTCACATATTTTTTTTTAACTCTTTGAGTATTTCACAAGAATTCAAGAATCATCTTTTTTAATTCCTTGGGTATATAGAGTATAAATCATGTGTCATAAATAATTTAACCTTTTTATCAAATATACATGTAATAACCAAATCTAATCTATAGATTGATTTTCTTTCTTTTAAGTGGCAGATATCAATTTATTTATAAAGGCTTTAAAACAGTACTGTATTACAATTTTCTATCGCTCAATTCCTTTTTTGAGTGTATGTAATATTTTTTAATATCGAAAATAAAACTCGGAAATCGGGATAATTTCGCATTCAAATCATAGAGAATAATAAATCGTCTACATTATAGAAGGCTTATAACTATCGTATTCTGAACTTACTATACGAGATAGATAAAATTGCATGCCTGTCCATCACTATAAATGTATATTCAGTGCTTATAATATATTTACTTGAATTAGGTACCTAGCATATATATTAATTTTTCTTTTTAGATATATTCATGTGTAAATCAATTAACTGTCAATACAGACTTACACTACACTGGCAACTTTAAACTATACATGCTTTGGAAGCGGTAACCAACGTACTCTTACATTTAGAAGAGTGCATATGGAACGTCTAAATATTTTTGATATGGAGAGTGTATATGTCTCTGACGTCATCGATACTATTTCCGCCTTTATCTCGAAAGTTCTATTCTCACTTACAAGTCAGAGTTATCTTTCTTTGCCCATTGTATACACACTAGGTAAATGGGGAAAATGACGGTACCTAAAATCTAGAAAATGCGCAATCCAATTTTAAAACAAATTACATATTTAGTATTTGTAGAATAACCTCTGTTATACATAATAAAATCTTGAAAAAATATTAAAAATCAAAAAAGTTGAAAATTGACCAAACACAAGTTCACTTCCGGTTCGGACAGGAAGTACCGGAAACACACGAAAACAACTTCGAAACAAAGAGAATGTCATGATCTAATGCTCCTGTAAATTTCACATCTTTACCTCAAACCGTTTCCGAGAAAAATTCCGGACAAAAGTCCATTTAAAAATTGGAAATTCGGCCGTAACTTCGGACCGGAAGTGAATTTTTCAAAAAACGGAATTTTATATAAACTTCATATATCAGCCTACTATCATGTGAAAAATTGTGAAAATCTATCCAACCATCTCTGAGTAATCGCGCTCACAAAATTTGGGAGGAATAATAATAATAATAATAATAAAAAGAAACAATACAATCACTATAAGTCTTCCGTTGTGAACGGAAGACTTAACTAGAAACTCATTACTAGTAATGAGAAGGTCTTCCGTTATACTACTTCCTGTTTGCATAAACATGTCTTTTCCAACGTCGATATAAGCCTAAAACTGATGTAGAAACAAAATAACTTAAAAAAATTACTTTTTTCTTCATTTCCTGTCACGACCGGAAGTAATGACGACAGACGATTTTTACACGATGCAAATGAACTGATGACTGACTATAAGTCCTGAAAGTTTTAGACTTCAGTCTTTTACTCTTACCGAGCAATTGTGAGAACACATTCTAATTTTGGGGACAGGAAAACACACGACCGGAAGTGAATTGAATAAAAATCTCTGAATTTTCTCATGACATTTGTAGTATCTACAGCATATGTATAAAAAAACATTTCAAATACTTATCTTTAAGTGATATTTATGAGAAAGCTAAACATCGAAATAACGTAGTTTATCTCTTTAAACCGGAAGTTTACAGTTTTTGTTTCCGGTGGAATCTAACATATTTCAAAACACGAAAGAGATGCAACAAAGTGATGCAAGTTTTAATTTTATAAAGAAAAGTTGAAATTTTCGATTTTTTGATCACTTCCTGTGACGACCGGAAGTGACGGCTGACGCGTCTAACCCTATGTGTTTTGCCTACTCCTCAAGGTCTTCTACTCATTTAAGTTTGGTGTCTTAATCTCATGCCGTTTCCGAGACCTCGCTGAGATAACTTTTCATTTTGAGGACAGGAAAAACACGTGACTGGAAGTGAATTTTACTAAGATTTTTGACGTTACTCTAGACATTTGCAGTCTGAATAACATATCTAAAAATCTTTTCAAATACTTTATCTACAAAAGATATTTAAGGGAAAGTAAATTACTCAAATTATGTAGTTTTCCTCTTCTAAGCGGAAGTTGTCGTTTTTGTTTCCGGTGGGACTGACATATTTCAAAACTACACATGAGATGCAATAATATGATGCAAAAAAAAAATTCAAAAAAGAAAAGTTGAAATTTTTGATTTCTTTGATCAGTTCCTGTGACGACCGGAAGTGACGGCTGACACGCTTAACCCAAATGGGCTCGCCTACTCCTCATGATCTATTACTCGTATAAGTTTGGTGTCTTAATCTCTTACCGTTTCTGAGATCTCACTCGGAAAAAATATTTTTGAAAAGAACGGAAATCGGACATACCTGACGACCGGAAGTGAATTTTGAAAAAAATGAAAAAAAAAAAAAAACGCCTCGGTATATTTTTTAATTCTCTATCAACCCTGAAAATTTCATGAAAATCCATCCAGTCATCTCTGAGTAATCCTGCCGACAAAAAAAGGGGAAAATAGTAATAATAATAATAATAATAATAAACAGTACAATCACTATAAGGTCTTCCGTCTGGAACGGAAGACCTTAATAATAAACAGTACAATCACTATAAGGTCTTCCGTCTGGAACGGAAGACCTTAATAATAATAAGAAACAGAGTAAAAACAATATGTTCCCAAACTTCGTTTGGGGAACATAATCAATGATTTATATTCATATATTCAGAGACATTATCTCAATATTCCGTACAGCAGCAGGGCTGCATTGAATCCTGCTATGGGGTGGAATCTTATTGGACACCGTCAGGTCACAGTTGTCCTTTCACCCTAGTTATTGGAAGTAAAATATTTTTAAAAAATAAAGGTAAAAAAGTCTTTAAAATATTCTAAATCCTATTCAGATAGAAAATCTAATGACCTACATAGAGTAAAACACGGTTATAGCAAAGTGATTTTCATTCCCCTTGGTTTTGAATAGTATTATGAACTTAACGGATATAACGAATATAACGAATTATGTTTATAACGAAGCTAATCTCTCCGTCCCTTTCACTTTGCTACAAGCTTATTTTATCGAGTATACTTTAATTGAGCTTACATTTATTCACATCTAGAATTTTCTGTATAAACCAATTCCTTTTTTCAAATTTTTTATGCAAAGAATATATATATTGGATAACATGAAAATGATTTAGTTTTGCAAATTTCATTACGTATGTATTTGTAAAGCATTTGAAATCTTTTCCAGACACGTGTCCGTCTAACATTTTTGATTTCTGTCGTGCTTGGACAGGTGGCAACGATCTTAGAACGGAAGGTAGATACCAATGGAACAATGCTAATGAAAGCATGGCCTTCACAAATTGGGAGTCAAATGAACCAAGCATTACTTATCCTTTTCAAGCGAAGTATAGCGACTGTATCCACCTACTTAGAAATGGAAACTGGAATGATATACCTTGTTCGACAAAGACTAACTTCATCTGTGAGAAGGCCTGAAGGTCGATAGACAAGAACTATGCTGGTGTGTTTTTATCAGTGCGTTCAGAAGAGTTGTGCGTCTTTGTCTATCCGCAAAGTGTACGTTCTCAAATTTAATATATTCATGTAAAAGTTGAAAACAGATAATTAGAAATATTTCTTGTTGACACATGTAACGTTTTGTGGGAGTTGTGTGATTTGTATTAGTTTATTTTGTTATCAATTTAGTTTAAAAGACGTCCCATCATTAAAAAGAAAGCACAATAACTTACTTAATGGAAATGAACATATTGAGGAAAAATGCTACACCAAAATTTTATTTAACTGGTCTTTAATGTAATTGTAATTTTAAAAAAAATGGACCAATCCCAATCGAAATTAAACTGATCCAAATCAAAATTAATTCAAATTTTTACAGAAGCACTAAATTCTGCCATTCTCTCTAAGAAAACTATTTGAAAGACAATTTCAATTACTTTGTAAACCATATTACACTCAAGCAATTTAGCATTCTTGTGAAATTGTTATATATTTTCCATTTTATACAATTCTGGTTGGAATCAGATTAATTTCTAATAGGATTGGTCCTAGGTTTAAAATAGTCATGTTTCTAAAATCTTACAATTTCATTTTAATTTCTTTTTTAAAATATGATCTTCTAGAATGTCGTTCCTAGCTGTGACTTGTTTCTTGAAGAATTTATCCGTAGGTTAATAAAAATATTATCAAATACTATATTTTACTTTGATAAATAATTATTAGAAAAATCAAAAGAGTATTTTTCTTTACATATCTAGTTTGATAATAATTTTACGCATTTATTAACTGCAAATTCTAAATTCTAAATCATCTTATTTACAATTAAAAATAAACATAACGAACAGTAATCAAAACCAAAGTCCATTGAAACAAATGTGAAGCAGAGCAAACACGGACCTCTAGATAGATTTAAACATTTTCCTGGAAAAAATACAAACAAGAAGGTCATGGGCCACATCGCTCACTTAAGCACATTGGCTAGGAAAAAGCAGAGATCTTGTTCAGTATTGATAAGGTTATGGGGTGGGGGGTGGGGTTACTTTAATTTGCACTACCTCAGGATGCTTCCATTTCAATATTGATAGTCATGGCTTTGTTGTTCTTGAGAATAATAAGGAATATTTTGTAAAATCAACTAGAATATAAAGTATGTAGTGATTTTTTTTCTCAATATTCACATTTTATATGCATTTGTCGTATTTTTCGATGTCCCTTTTGCTTCATGGAAGTTTTATAAAATAAATGTACACACAGTTGTATGCAAAAGCAAAATTCAAATGAAACTTCTCATTTAAAAACGGTCCCCTGGATATTGAATTTGATTTGATGCTTTCAATTATATCATAGTAAACACCTAAATAAAAACTTGTTTATATTAATATTGTTTATATTGTTTATAATAATTTTCTGATAAGGGTTACCTTTCATTTCAATGATTTCTATTAATGCAACTTAAAAATGCTTTTAACCAAATTATAGATTCAAGAAACAAACCAAAGAGAAAGGCTGAATGTTGGATCCCTGCCTTTTAAAAAGCTTGAAAATTTATAGTTATTCTTTTTCACAATATGACTTCAGCAAATGACTCAGGTTTGTATTGCAAAACAAGCACACCTCCTTTCCATTCTTTTAACCACCGAAATATGGCTGAAATATTTTCATTGTAATGTCATTAAAAACTTATAAAAAAAAAAAAGTAACAAAAACAAATTACACTGCATGATGAAGCGTAAAAAATGTAGTATGAATGATTTTTTTTTTCTAGAAAAACATCCAAACATGAAAGAAATGTATGAAACTCTGTGGTTTCTTTTATGTTGATCTCAATGGGATATATCGAATTAACGTAGGAATGCAATTAAATATTGTTAATTTGAAAACGTCTTCAATATATCTACATGTCGTTTAAAGGGTCATGGCAAAAGAACTTTTATTCAAGGGTTTTTGAATAAATTCTGCTTCAAAGAAATACTCATTCATGTATGTCCCCATGGCATTGGTAAAACTCAGGAAAGAGAAAACTTTATATCATATTAATCCATATATTATTGATAAGCAGGAGTGCTTTTCAGTTTCCTATGTACCTTGAAAAAAATCGATTCTATAAAATGAATAATTAACTTAATGCTCAGGAATATCATTTTGGGATCAAATTGCAGAAAAAAAACACATATTTAAATGAGAAAATGGGCGACAAAATATGACATATGACACAACAATGAAATTTTGAAATCTAAAGACAAACTTCACGGTACCAAAAATAGATACTGAAAATTGAAAACAAACACTACTATACAATTCAAAAATGATATAGCGCAATTCAAGACAAAACACTGTGGTACAATTTTAGACAAAAATTATACTGAAATAAAAAAGGTGAAGATCAGAGACAAACATTTTGGTATAATTTAAGACAGAAATATAGAATATCAAAGACAAATACTGTGGTATTTAAAGAAAAAACACTAAGCTATAACCACATTTCTATATTAGTGAAAAATTCTCATTCACATTCAATTTGCATTAGTCGCATTTTTCGAAGCCCCTTGTGCTTCATTATATAAGGTTTATAAAATAAGCGTACACACAGTGTTATGCCAAAAAAAAAAATCAAATAAAGTTTATTTCTTATTTAAACACCTCCTAGCATGAGAATTGATTTGATGTTTTTAGTTAAGTCATCCTAAGTGCCTAACTCAAGACGTACAAATATTATTAATTGTTATTTAATTTTTTTGGGTACCCTTTATTTTAATGGTTTTTTTATTAAGTCTAAAAATGCGTTTAACCAAATGATTGATTAAAAAAAAATCAGTGATAAACTCTAAGTGTGATAACGAAAATGCATTTAACTCAATTGAAAATACACTTCTCGCCACAAGTGGAAATTTACTTCTCCGTTGATTTATTTTTCGCGAGATCATTCTACCATACTAGAGTTTTTGTTTCTTTAAAAATATCCCCTAACATGTATATAACTAATGCTTCTTATTTTCTACATAAATGAAAAGTGTTTTTTTTTTAAATTCATTTTATACAGTAGTTTGTTACGAGATAAAAAATTAATAAGTTTATACTGAAAAGGCTGCAATGATATTTCATTAGAGCTTACAAAAGATAGCAAAATGTTCTTTTTTTCTTACCCTCTTAATCTTTACTCCCATTTGTCTACTCATGTTTGAATTTCATTCAAACTTTTCTAATATATCCCTGTTTATGATAATGGACTTTTTCTGTTATTGAACACCAAGATTAAAGAATCTCGTTCAAATGAAGCATTTAAAAAATTGTCATATGTTTTGCAAATTATATGGAATAGCATCTCTGAGGCAGAAGTAATCAAGGAAAAGTATATTCAAAGAAAACAGTGTGACAACATTTTCATGAATTTCAAATAATGATTCTCAAAACCAATGTATACCTTGTTTACAGGAACACTGTCTTATTACTTATCATAATGTTTTCATCAAACCATCAAGTTTCCTAAAATATTAATGATAAGTGTTAAATTATGAGCAGGCAGAGCAGAAACAGACCTCCAAACACAGAGGTTTGTTATTATTAAATGGGTATCGTCTTCTCGTATCAATGATGTCTCTTTAAAATTTCGGTCATGATGAAGATGCAAGAATTTGTTTTTGACAAGTTCTAGTAATTATAAAGCCATGCAATAAAACTTTTACAAGCAAAGATATATTGCCTGATCCAGTAAATGCACTACCGAGCTTCTATCATTACTCCTCACAAAAATACTAACTGCAGTAAATGAGACTTATTAAATGTAATGTGCTGCAGCATATTCTGGAAGTGGTGTAGATCAGAAGTGGATGCTCAAGAAGTCCATAAAATTGAAAAAAATAAAATCACCATTTTTTTCAAAAGTAGTTAACATCCAAACACACGACTTTCCTACACTTTGTGCAACCATTCCTCATGATAAATCTAAAACTAGGTTTTCTGATATCATAAACAACTGCTTCTTCAATAAAAATGGAACTAAATTTTCACATCTTGCGATTGTTCATCAACAACATTAGTTCGTTTAAAATCACTCTGACTCTACACAAGTACTCTGAAGGAAGCTAGAGTTTTTAATCTTTGGTGACTAGCTGACTGGTCACGATAGCCTTGTGGTAAGGCGCTCGCTTCGTGATCGGGTCCGATTTTCGTTCGCTGCGCCGCGTCAAACCTAAGATGTAAACATAGGTTATGACTATTCCTTCGCTAAGCGCCCGGCACTAGAAGAAAAAGTAAGGGGTCTTTTGGATGAGACCTTAAAAACTTAGATCTCTTGTCTTGGTAGGCGTTGGCATGATAAAGAAAACCCTCACTGCTCATTGGCCCTCTGAGTGCCGAGTTTTGGTCTATATTTGAAGCCCTTCACCGGTATACGGTTACGTCTTTATATGAGTGAAAAATTTTCGATTGGGGCATAAAAACAACATACATATCTATTAATCAGTCTTTGGAAACTAAGTCTTCCACAAACAGTTGGAATTTTGATTTTTTTTTATATCGCTCACTGTTATATTCGCCTCTATCAATGTAAAACAAGGAAGCAATTAATATTGAATAAACTTCTCTTCTCACTGGATATAGTATTGATATAAAAAATCCCTTTTTTAGCTCACCTGAGCCGAAGGAGTGAGCTTTTCTGATCACATTTTATTGTAGTCCGTCTGTCCGTCTGTAAACTTTTCACATTTTCGACTTCTTCTCCAGAACCACTGGGCCAATTTCAACCAAACTTGCCACAAAGTATTCTTGGGTAAAGGGGATTCAATTTTGTTCAAATGAAGGGCCACACTTTCTTCCAAGGGGAGAAAATTAAGAATTCGTGAAAAATTAATGGCATCATTAAAAAGTCTTCTTCTCAAGAACCACTGTGCTTGAAAACATGAAACTTATGTGGAAGCATCCTCAGGTAGTGTAGATTCAAATTTGTTCAAATCATGACCCCCGGGGGTCGGGTGGGGCCA